GAATCACTAAATTTTAGTTTTAATGTAATTACTATTTTTTGATAAAGTGAATGTTTTAAAGTGATGAAGTGGACACGTTAAGAGGAGAGACAACTCTCCCATTATATAATTGATTATTATTGACAAGTTTCTAGCTCTGTCGAGCTTACATACTTATAGTTAAAGTCTTAACATAATTCTTTTTAGGAACGTTTCATAAGACCATAAAAAGATAATTTAACTCAAAAGAATGTATATTTTCCTAGTTGCATAATAGACTTCGATCTCTTATTCTTGTCTGGGTGATTCTCCATGTGCAAGGCACATGCCTATTAATCCAAGTCAAGTCACGTGCTTCTCACATGTGTTGTTAGTGTTCTTCGATTCATTTTCGTCTTCCTCTTCACAAGTTGTACGCTTCTTTTTCATTAACAAAAACAAAGTGTTTGGTGAGACAGACTCCAACAGAAACATATAACAAGAGGATAGAAAACTGGAACAGGCGCGGTGGTGATATGTCATTATTCTTTCTTTAGGGTTTATAGCTATGAAAAAAATAATTAAGGAACGAGAGATGAATTCAGTTAAGATGGATATGATATACAATAACCACACTAAAAATGTATCTTCACAAAAAGTATCTTTATGTGAAAATAATTTCAAGAAAAATGTCAATCACTATAACTATCTCATATTTTTCAATAGTAGCATGCATTTCTGTCCCGTACAAACAGATCAAGAGGAAAAATTATATAAGAATAATACAAAACGCACAAAAAAAAAATAATCAACGAAGAACAAATAAAAGATATAAATCTCTTAGAAACGAAAATATAAATGAATAATTAGAAGATAATAGATCTGATTTTGCCATCAGACCAATTGAGATATACAAAGCTCTCATAGTTAGAGAATATGTGCATTAATTTTATGATTCAGTGACCATTATCGCATGGTTTATTCAGGACAAATGATTCATAAACCTTGATGAGTAGACATCTCCCATAAAATTTCGTCTTGCATTATTTTTAATGAATA